TCCAAATCCGATCCCCTTCATCGACAATAGGTCCGCTCGCCAGATCCGGAGTCCCTACGTCGGCACCTGTCACCACTGAGCCCTAGTGTCATCATTGACGACCGCCACATCGGATCTGCTACCCCTTTGTCGACGCCGGCCACACCACTTTCGCGACTAGGATGACAAGAGGGCGGTGCCGACGACGCAGCATAGCCAGGAATAGGAAGAGGTACCCAAACTCCTTTTATGATGCGTGTTGTACTCTAGTGGTTGAACCTAGGACATGTATATATAGTGACAGGGTTACATGTTTCTTAGTTGATTGTAGTTCACATATGCTTTATTTGAGTATAATAGCTTTCGTATAAGTTGTAGTTCACATGTGCTTTATTCAAGTAATGGCTTCCATATAAGCTATAATTTAGGCACCTAATTTGCATGCTCCTGCTCTGTTTTGTTGACATTTGATACAAGGTTAACTCAACAAATGCCTTTGTGATCTACATGTTGACATCCAGAATATCTCCCTGAAGCAGGGGAGCGTGTTCAGGGATATGGTGATACAGATATAGATTTAGAAGAGCGAGTATCCCTTGCAATTGAGGTGCTTGTTCTATCTTGTAATGTTGGGATGGGAGGGGGGTTGGTTTAGGTAGCAGTGCAATTTAATTCTTTGTTGTGTGGATAGCAATGTAATTTTTACATGCTTGCTTTTTAGGCTGTGGGTTGAACAAGACGTAGAGAAGTCCCTACTAGCAGGGCAAAAGGCAGCACCGATATGGGTCCTGGGGGATGGCAATTCAAGAGAGTGAAGCCAACTAGTCCAGAAGAGTTGCAACATCTTATAGTTCCAACTAGGTCCAAAAGTCAGCACGCACAAGGCGAACAAAGCCCTCTGAGGGACTATCATGTGAAGATGACCTTAGCCATGCCGAAGAGGAGACTCCACCTCCCCACCAGCAGAATGACCAAACTTGTGAAGGTTGATACTACCTTAGACATGTCTATAAATCAAGTCACACTATTTGATATCCATTTACTTTTCTAACAATCTGAATGTATGAAAATTGTATAGTACCATTGCAGAGAAGAGCGAGGAAGTCAAGGCAAGCAACTAAGGGGCTTGGGCTTCACAAAACCACCCAATCAATAGGAACAAGGATGCCCATCTTGGTTGGGGAACATAAGGCCACATGATCCATTGCAAGCTGCCAAGTTTGCCTCAGAGGCAGGTGTAGTAGTCAGGTCTCAAGTACCAATTTTCCTGCACTGGAAACATTACAAGCAATGGATCGAACATCTCAATGGATTTATGGCCAAGCTATCTGTAAGTATGTATATCCTCTGTTGACATTCAACTCTACCTTGAGCAACTTAGTAATAGATTTAATTTGCATTCACACTTCTGTAGTTGAGGCTGGCCATTGATGACAATGATGAAGCTAACAAAAGAAGCATGCACGAGTATATTCCAGTCTGTTGTACGACAGACATGGTATAGGTTCAAGCGATCTTCCTTCAACGGCGTCCCCGCTGATGAAATCAGAAAGACATCTCCTGTGTCTTGCATGAATGACGCATAGTGGTGTGCACTTGTCCACATGTGATTAAGTTCCAAGAACAAGGTGTGTGTATGTGTGTGAACTCATTTATTTCTTGTCTAGTCTTTATGTGGTCTATTTGTGCTACAGTCTAACATAATTATGGTTATAGGCAGTCACGGAGCAGAACAAGCGAAACCCTACAAAAGTCAAGTGCCACCAAGTTACAGGATCTCGCTCCTATATTGCCCGCCTACAAGCATATATAAGTGATGGTTGTGTTACTCTTTTTATATTAAATACACAATGCCTTTTATATCAACAGAAAGGCATATGCAATTTAAACAGAAGGACAAAAATAGGAAGGACGCAGGACACGATCAAGAATTGCTCGTTGAAGAATATGATCGACCTCATGAAGATGTTGATGCAGTGGGAATCTTCAACAACTTCCATACCAGTAGCAACATGGGACTGAGCGATGCTACAAGAGAAGCAGTGGTAAGTACCTTCATTTGCTTTTCCGTGAAATCTGTTGAAGCCATTGGCATAAAAGAAGAAAAAGTAGGAGGAGCCTAAAGTGGCACCATTATTTTGAAGTTGTAATATTACAACAGTTAATATGTTACCTACGCATTGTGTTTATGAATCTCTATCGGCAAGAGGCTGAGAAAGACCTATGCATTACTTGTAATGAAATAATCTTTTGGTTCTACAATTTAAGTCCTCTTCCTAATGTTTACTTCTTTGATTTCGCAGGAAGCTATGGAAACTATATGAGTAGAACCTATTACTGATGTTGTTTCCAATGTCCTCTCCTAGACTAGCTGCAACACCTTTTCTTTGAAGAATGCTGGTATCAGGACAAGCTGATCTAGACTTCGAGAACGGCTTGCTGCTCGTCAGGAAAGTTCAGCTGTCCTTGCCAAACAAGTGGATCAACTAAAGAGGAAAGCAGAAAACACTGATAGGGAGTTTGAGGAGTTCAAGAAACAGCAATAGGAGGAGTACAATAAGCTCCGTGAGCATATCATGCTCTTAAGCGCTGGTAACTCTCAGTCTTGTTGATGCAGTGAACATGTGGTTTGTTTACTGTTTTGATGTGAAATTTTGGCGGCTTGATATGTGAACTCTGTCAGTGGTTTGCTGCTGAGCTGAACTGTCGTTATTTGATTCAAGTTCAATATAATTATGCATGTAGTCATTTTGTGCAGCAGTGTAGATCTGAAATCATTTTCTCAGATGTAATGATTGGTGTGCACGTGGTAGATCTGGCACAGGCACGTTGTTAAATAAGAATCTGACACGTGTAAGAGCGACGACAGGGCACGTGGGCCCATACAAACAAAATACGTGGTACAAATTTGTCCTGCCACGTGGGTAGCTCAGGGTGCGACACGTGGCCCAATAAAATACTGACACGTGGACGTACAGAATCGAGGCACGTGGTCGAGTAAAAGAATGGCACGCGGGGTATTGTGGTCACGCCACGTGGACCAATATAAATACGTCACTTGGTCCAATAAAGAAGTGACACGTGACCCAACCGCAACACGACATGTGTGCCAATAGAAAACTGACATGTGGAACAACAGGGTCCCGACACATGGTCCAGTAAGAACCTGAAACATGCAAGAACCAGAGATGGCCACGTTGTGCAATAAGAATGTGACACGTATCCAAACCATCTCCAATGCAACCGGCTATAGCACGTACACGTGGAAAGCATCTCCAATAGAAGCACCCGCCAACGTGACTGCCCCTACCACGTATGCCAAAGCAGTTCTATGACGATCAGATTTCGTCATAGATCTATCCAATTCTACGACGAATTTCTAGAATCGTCATAGAATTGCAAGAATGACGCGACTTCTATGATGAACCATTTTTCGTCATAAATTTATCATAAAACTAAGATTATGACGAATTTGGCTCCTTCAATGACAAAATATTCGCCATAGAAGTGGATATTTCTATTAATGTAACAAGTAGTACTATCTCAATACATTTATGCCCCAGAGCCCGTTTCCTAGCTCGTCGATGTCGATGGTAGTTCGGCGGCGCGTGGCATCTGGAGCCTATGCCCAGCGGCGGACACGAGCTCAGCGACTAGTGCCTCCGCGCCGCGGTTGGTCAGCCCCCACACTATCGGCTTGGTGCTTGTGTCCGTGTGGCCCTACTGCTCCGCTCGGGCGGCCTGCGCCCCCTGCACCCGGCGACTCGTGGACCCACGCCTGCCGCGGCCGGTAGCCTCCACATCCCCAAGTCAGCAGCCCCACCATGGGCAGCGTTCGCCCCACCATGGGCGACGCTCCCGGGGCTAACGCCCCACATGGTCGACCTGCTCCCCTGTGGCGGCGCCAGGTGAGAAGGAATCATGTTTTTTTGTCACGAACTCTAGCGGCTGCGAGAGAGAGGAGACATGGCGTGCTGGAGGATAGGGTTGGAGGTATAGACGACTTTTTTTACATAGTGCTCAAACTTTAGCCTCTGATAGCTAGGTTCTATGGACGAGTGAGCTAACAACTAGTTTGAGCTCTAGCTAAACTTTAGCCCATCCATTAGCCCTCATGTTTAGATCCTTAAGAACTAAAGTTTAGCAACTAGTTGTTAGCCCAAGGAATCCAAACAAGACCCTAGTCAATAACTTCACATGTATGGTATTAGAGAAAATGCCCTTCCCCTTAAGCAACCGTTCATTCAGGAATCATCAAGTCTTTCAACGTGAAGAAACCGCTGACAACTCATCACCAAATATACCAACCCACTGTAGTGTAGTACCTTTTCAAATAACAGTTTTTTTTTCAATTTCAAATGTTAAAAATAATTCAGCGACTATGTATTTTTTTTTCATTTCTTCAGAAGATTACAACTTTTGTGGGAAGGAAGTTGACCACATTCTAAAAGTAAGGCGGAAAGCCAGAGGTCAGCTAATCATAGAGCCCTTCTTCGTGCCATATGTCGACCAAAAAATCGACCATCTCCTACAAGGGTTCTGCAAGTCAGATGCTGATAACATAAATGACCAATAGCAGGAAGGCTTGAACTCAAGGATCTTACAGATAGTGGGATTCGCTGTGGAAAACGCTCATTGTCGACAAGAGATCATCATATGTTGTGGACCAACTGCGATGTAAAAGACATAGTGGAGTTGAGAATGGAAGCTAACCGATCTCTAACAAATATAGCTCGCAGCCTACCATGAATCAAGAAGCTATCTAACTATCATGAAACAATAAAGCTTTCTTCAGTGTGAACTAACATCACTTATTTGCTGGAAGCTCCTGACGGCTTGTTAGTGCATCAGGCGCTCAACATAAGGACTATCTAGGTTATTAAGGGTAATGCAGAAATTTAATAAATAATTAGAAATTTCCCAGGATCTTTAAACTAGCTAGTTTACCAAACACCTAGCCAAGGCAATGAGACTAGTTCTCTATAGATTCTTAAATTCCATATATCGTGTTCCACAGAAAACTATGATTCAGGCAAATGAAAGGACAGGAACCTTATCACTGGCTCTCGAGGGGACTTTCTTGGAACTTCTGCCTGATGTCCAACCCATTGTCTTCTCATCTCAGCCCATGCTTCAGCAGCTGCAGAACCAAAGTTTATAATTGGTTACAAATGACTCTCTGGCATCAAATCCTATTCATTCATCCATATCCCCCACAAAATGGTACTATATGACTAGTCTATTAGCTATAACATATGTGTTATTGTCTGAATAACTGACCACAGAAGTTCATGCTAACAAAAAGCTTTCCCTTGCAAATAGTAAGAGAGAAAGAAACAATGTTCTGTAAACTGACTTTAACATGACACCAGTACTGATTACTGAATGAGCCCCTTTACCAATGTGATTTTCTTTATCATTCCAAGAACAAGCCTATATGTACAGTTCTTGTTCAAAACAATAAAAAAATTTGGGTACGACTTTGGTGTTGGTACAAGCACAATTAACTGCATATCAAAGATGCTATAAAATCTAATGGATGAAACAACTACAATCATATTTACCTTACAATCAAACTACCATTCTCAATCTACTTATGTTGTAAGCATCCAATCACAGATATAACTCATTAAATACAACAACTCAAGATACCAAGATTTCAAAATGAAATCATACCATGGTTGATAAATGATGTATCTACCCCGTTTTCCATTGACGTTTTAGAATCGTTCACTATCGAGTTGGGAATAGACGAGATATTCCCCTCAAGAGAAACTGATATGCTAACATTCTTCTCCATTGCTTCTAGACCCGATTGCCATCGTCTTCTGTTTCCAGTAGATGAATCCTGGGATTTCTTTCTTAAGGGTCGTTTCAGTTTAGAATCTGGAAGTGACTGAGATCTGCTTAAATTACCAATACAGCCACTGCTCTGCATAAATTAAACATCAGATATGTTTGAGGCGGGAATCGCTCAAAAGCTGGAACTCAAGCGCTTCATATATTAATTATATTTGTATGGCAAAAATAATATTTGAGGTGTCATAAGATGATAACAACTCTATCTTTTTTGGCACCTACCCCATATAAGCTCAAAGAGAATGTCATGCAAACACTGCAGCCATTAAGTGTGCTAACTGAACTGTTTAAAAGAGTGAGACGGTTTGTCTTTTCATGCTTCAGATATCCATTGTGGCAGCCATGTGTTTCTGAAAAGAGAGAGTCTGTTAGTCATAAGGTAGCCAAATATTGCAAAGGAGCATGACCTCAATCGTCAGTGGCTGCAAGAATGTATACTTCATTGTTTTAGCAAACCATAAAGAGAGAATCAAAGACGCAATCAGCCAGGCATTTTACAGGTCTTTTATGCAGTTCTCCTACATCCACTAAAAGTAAATTGTATCATCTAGAATGTATAATTCCTGTCCAGTTTACTCTGTCTTACACTGTCCATTCAATAACATAGCATTGGCCACTGTCATGCGTTACTTGAATCGAACCCTTCGATTCCTCCAATTTGATTAGCTTCACGGTCCCGCACCCGTCCATCTTCCTCTATCCCTTCTCCAAATCTAGCAGCAGGATTATAGAACTTATACTACCAAAACATGCGGCTCACAAAGATAACCACAGCAACCACGGGCATCGCCCTTCGCCTCAGAATCGCACCAGGATTTCCAACAAATAAACCCACCCCCGGATCAGATATACCGATACATAGTGGCCGCGACCCAGTAGGAACTCGCCCGACCAAGCAGTTGCAGAAACAAATTAGACTAGAAATGCATATTCTAGGTGCAGGGTACCTCACCTCAGGATGAATCCGGAACTGGAAGAGAAGCCAAATCGCTTTTGCTCGCCCACCCCTTTACCTTCCTCGGTTGCTCCGCTTTTGGTAGGCGACAACGACAGAGAGGAATCACGCGGGCGAGAAGGGTCGGCTGGTCGCATCTGGCCGCCACCACAACCGGAAGAAAGAAATGATGGAAGGAATGTGATGTGGTTACTCCGTACCCCGTAGGTCGGAGCGTTGGCCCTTCAGTGGACCGCGTCCACGGACCTAACTCCACCGACCAGATCAGGATGGCGCCGGGTGCGTAGACCAGGCGTACGTAGGCCCGCGATGGGGGGCGCACGGTGGGAGCGGGATGGAGACAGGGAGAAAGGCACGCCGCCCGCGGCGCAAACGGAAAAGAAAGTTTGACCTACTGTCTCCCAATGCACCTCCATTGATTTTTTTTTTTACTTGTTCGGCTGGCATTAAATTCACACTGTAGCAGCTGGAAAATACTGTAGCAGCTGGAAATTTTGTGTCTTCCATCCACGAGAATGCAGAGAAGGCGAGCCGCAGAGGCAAAGCAGCAACTGCGGCGCCGCCCGCCGGCAGGCACTGGCGCACTGCGCAGGGCCACTGGTCGCCAGCAGCCCGGCCACCCGGCGGAGCTGCTGCACAGCCCGCGCTGGGTGACGGGGAGTCGGGAACGGGCGGACCGGCGCTCAGCCGCTCAGGGCCTTTTCGATTGCGGGAAATATTTTCCGTTGCTGTGTTTTTCATGTGAAATTCCTGCTCTCCCTCAGCTGGAATGCGTCGGGATCAGAACGAACGGAAATGGGCCGGCAGCATCAGCTTCTCGGCAGACTCAGGGAGCTCAGCTCCTGGATGGTTAAACAGGCCAGTGTTTGGGCTTTCTGTTTAGCTGGACCGTTAAACGAGAAGTACTTTAAAAAAATAGACCTACGTAATTTCAAGGTAGTTAAAACGAAGAGTGGTTCTTATTGAAGCTAACCTTCGTAGAAGGGACTAGAATATATACAAAACTTGCTCCTTTTATAGTTGCAACGAAACAATTCAATTCTGCTGTCTGTATGCTAAGTTTCTTTGGCATGTCGTCCAAGTTAATTTTAAAATTACATGACCAAACAATATGCTAGACATGTTTGACCAGTGGAATTTGCATAGTGGCAACAATGTTAGGAGCGAGAGCGGTACTGTCTTGACAACTTCATCAACAAAAGAAAAGAAAAAAGAAAGGTAATGAAATTACGGCCGGCCGTATTGTAGCTGCTTCCAGAAAGAAAACCTTATGTACAGGTATTATTCGGGGAGAGGGAGGTCCCGGTGGCAAACTGGCAATACCTCCGGTTTTATGCATTGTTGCAACTAGGAGAGGACCAAAAGGATGTTGCATGCAGATCGCCCGAGCCAACGAACATGCAAATTTCTACCTCAGGCTTTGTTCGATGTTATCGGATTTACTTCAATCCACATGTGTTAGGGTATGGATTGATGCGAATCTGAGTATATCCAAACAAGACCTCATATGGTCAAATGGATGGAATTTAAGTTTGAGTTGTATTCTGTTAGCGTTTGTTATTTGCCTGATGCATCTTCGATTGAAGATGCAAAGCGATACTTTTCCGTCAAAGTTAAAAAGAGACATTTTTAGCTCACAGTTCTTATTTTGGTGAGGAACCAAAACAATAAGAATAGAAATTTTCTTACATGCCACTTATGTTCTAGTTTTGTCTTAAGTCATCTAAAGTTTGATCAAGTTTATACAAAATAATTATTGTTGGATTCCTATTTTGTGTCATAAATATATATAATTTTCTCTATAAATTTAGAGAAAATTTGACTTAGGACAAAACGAAAACATAAGTTTTTTTTTAACGGGTGGAGTATGAGGCCTCGACAGTTATTAACAGTGGCATGTCAAGGATTTAAAGTTTATTCAGTAGCACAGAAGAAATTATATGTAACAATATATATATTAATGGGGCATTTGGTTTGACAAATTGATTGTTCCGGCGGCACCATTGCCTTCTTACTACTTGCATGGTTTGGTTCAGAGAGTGTTCGGGCGTGCACATGATCACTTCATCTCTGACATGCACATGATTGCCTTAATAACGATGGATTGGTTTATCCAACCAAAAAATTATCAGATGATCTCACAATGAATCATTAAATTGTATATCAAGTGATTGCTGAAATAAAAACATTCCAAAAAGTTTTTCAAGGTGCTTATTTTCGACTGGAATTATTTCCACTAAATTCCTTATGACGTGCCATCATGCTAGTTAGCTATCTCCTGAAACTAGGCGGTCTTCTGACTTTTGTAGCTTGCTCGAACGCATAAGCAATCTCAATCAACCTTGGCTCGTAGCCCTTGAGCCCACCAAAGCATATCGCAAAGGGGACTCCCTGCCTGTCGTACCCCGCTGGCACGGCGATGCCCGGATAGCCCCCGACGGCGAGAACAGAGGAGGCGTCGCTGTTGGGCGCCACGATTGCATCCAGCTGGTGTTCCTTCATCAGCTTTTCCAACCCATTGGTGGATATCTCCTTGAGCCGCTGGATGGCAGCTCTCTCCCTGGTGCCAATGTCATTGGTTTTCTCCGCGGCAATCAGGTCTGGCTGCCCAAAATCTTTGAGTCTCTCCTGCAACACCAACACAACAGGAAATAGCATCATCTGATCATATATATCTTGACAATTAACTGTATTGCTCCTGCTGATTCTGTAATGTGGAAGACAGGAATACTATTTGGTTTACCTCTACAGGATGCGCTTCGTTGAATGCTATGACCTGTGCAAGGGAGCGGACTGGAGAGTACAGTAGGTCTGACAAATAAGCATTGATGCTTAAGCCCTTGTTTAGTTTGCGAATTTTGGATTTTGGGGCTACTGTAGCACCTTCGTTTTTATTTGACAAATAGTGTCCAAACATTGCATTGATGCTTTTCCCAAAACTTGAATTAGTTTTTCTTTTCTCTTCATGCGCGGCCATGAGCCATGTGAGAACTTTTTGATTTTGGGTCCAACTAAACAAGGGCTAACTTGAACTCTGCAGCCATGAGCAGAATCTCTTGCTCATATAGGTCAGTGAAATTTATTGCAATGTCAAGACCCTTGATCACGTCAGCGCCTTGTTGCCTTTCAAGAAGAGAAGCGAAGTTAATCAATAGAGTATTAACAGCCAAGTTGGCCCACTGTTGTTAGCATAGTTTTGCTGGGAGGTAGCGTCATGTATTAACAGTCGGAGGGAGTACCTCATTGTATCGAGATGCTTCTCATAAACCGCCAATTGCATGTCATCGTATCCTTGAAAAAACACATCGAGGACACCGATCCTCTTGGCCTTCAATCCTTGGATCCTCAGGAACTGCGTGAATCCCCCGTGCGGGATGTACTTGGACGCTGCTCCGGTGGCTTCATCATCAAGTTCGTCGTAGCCGACAATGACGTCCAACACATGGACGGCATCACGTATCTGCGCGACACATTGGTCTGCGATGACAAACACGGGTCAATGACCATTATTATTTAGTACAAATTACTGTACTAGATATGTACAGATCTTGGAGTTTAACATTTCGAACTGTGTTGGTATTAAAGTCTGGCCGGCTGAAACTGATTCGTTGTGTACTGATAAGTAAGCGAACAGGCCTATGCAACGTAGTAATAAACACTTTTGAGTTTAATATAACCGGTGGGTATTTTCTGTTTCTCACGTACCCAAAAGTGTCTTGAAGAGGAGTGATGGGGATGACACCGGACCGGCTAGTCAACCCAACAGTCGGTTTGATGCCAACCACAGAGTTGAGCGACGATGGGCAGAGGATGGAGACGTCGGTCTCGGACCCCAGTGTCTCGGACCCGCATGGCGTCACGGACAGAACATATGGATTCTGTAATTTCACGCATAGCAGTATCAGATTTGCTATACCAATCGAAGTTTTGAAGTAGTATTAACAATACCAGCGTCTGGCCGCCGCGGGCGCTCCAGCCGGAATCGACGGGGCGGTAGTTGGACCACTCGGAGGGGTTGCCCTTGCCGAGGATCACGGCAACGGCGCGGCGGAGGCGGGTCACCACGCCGGCGTCTCGCCTGACCACGGAGCCGAGCAGCGCCAGGGAGCCGGCCGTGGTGTTGAGCCTATCGCGCGTGGCGATGTTGTCCTTGAGCAGGACGGGGACGCCGTGCAGGCCAACGGCGCAGCGGCCGCCGGAGGCCGAGCGCTCCGCGTCGGCGCGCGCCGCCTGCGCTAGCGCGTCCGGGTTAACCTCGAATGACGGCGTGGAGCAGCGGGTTGAGGCGGGCGATCTGGTCTAGGTAGAACCGGACGAGCGCCGTCGATGTGAGGCTGCCGTTCTTGAAGGAGAAAATTTCTTATTTGCCCTGGTTGAAACTTGCCTTTCTTTCTTAGCCCTCAAATAAATTTTCTTATTTATTTGGTTTCACCTGAAGTTTTGATTTTCAATCTGGCCTTACCGTCATCTGCTGCCTCTAGCGGTGTTAAGTGGAACATGAAATGACTAATTTATCCCTGAGACATCATGAGAAACCAAAGGGAACCCAGGTAGCATACCAACGTAATTTTGAGCACCCTTCGAACAAATTGCTGTTCTCAATCTTGTGTGCTTGTGCCAATCCTCTTTGCTAGTTAGTTCCTCGCACAATTTAGATAGCATACCAACGTAATTTTCCATCATGCACCTTCTCTTCAAATTGTTGTTCTCAATCTTGTGTGGAGGACGGTTGCTAGCAGCGGCGATCCTCTTTGCTAGTTAGTTCCTCGCACAATTTAGATACGTCTTCAGTCATATGTGCTTTGTGCCCATGGACCTGTTCTCCATCATGTCGTCTCCTCTTCGGTGTTCTTCCGTTCGTGCAATACAGCAGGCTAGCATGGAGGACGGTGAGTGCTAGGTGCAGCGGCGAGGCGGCCAGGCTTGCAAGCTCCACGGCAGTGTTGCCACACGCGGATGGGCTCGCAGCGTGGCGAGACCGTGAGACTGCATGGCAGGCTGCGGCAGCGGTGTGGGCAGCTGGGCTCGCGGGCGTGAGCTGCCGCGGAGGGCCATGCCAGCGGCTAGGCTCGCGGCATAGAGCGACTACACGGCAGGCTACGGTGGCAGCGCAAGCATTTGGGCTCACGAGCGTGAGCTGCCGTGGAAGGCAACGCGCCACAGAAAGGATAGCTCTCATCCAAGGCATTGCTTGAATGGCTCAGATGTACTACTGCTTAAGTTGCAGTAGAAGTTACAACTGCATAGGATCTTGGTCCGTGTGAGGGGGGCTGTGGAAGGGAGACGAGACCGACAGAGAAGGGAAAGAGAGGATTCAGTCTTTTTTTATAACTGAGAGGATGGTCTTAATTAGCCTAGGGGTATTTTTGTCTCTTTAGTAAAAACTTCTAACTCAGTCATGGTAAAGACGTAAAGTTGACAGAGATCCTCACAGTAAGGTCATATTGGGAATCAAAACTTCAAAAGAGGTCAAATAGGTAACAAAATTTGTTTCGGGGTCAAGAAAGAAAGATAAGTTCCAACCAGGGCCAAATAAGAAATTTTCTCTTCTCGAAGCCCTGGTGGATGGCGTCCACGGTGGCCTCCTCGAACTCGAACTGCTTGCCGCTGGAGCTGCTGCTGCCGGCAGCGGACGCCAGGGCCACCATGCCCAGGACGGTTGCGACGACCTGGAAGACGCAGGTCAACCATTGCTAGCTAGCTACTGGCTAGGACTGTCGTCCATTCGATCTGCTATCACATCAATTTTTAGCTAAGTTTAAATGTAAGTAAAAAAATAACTAATTACAGTGTGGTCACGAGTGCACACACTGCTTGTCTAGGTGCTCATCTTGTTCCACGACCGTTGGCTTGTTCCACGACCGTTGGCTCTTAATTTGTTTCTTTTTACTTTGCGCTTCATTTTCACATGCTTGATGAGTGGCAGACCACAAGTAGTGTAGGACCACTTCGAGGTTGCAGTGTCCCGACTCCCGAGAGAGATGACAAAGGTTTTGTATAAAGCAAAATACATTGGCGATCTATAAAGTTAGGCTGTGTTTAGTTCGTGAATTTTAGGAATTTGACTACTGTAGCACTTTCGTTTTTATTTGTCAATTAGTGTTTAATCATGGACTAATTAGGCTCAAAACGTTCGTCTCGCAATTTTCAACCAAACTGTGACAATTAGTTTTTTCGTTTACATTTAATGCTCCATGCACGTATCACAAGATTCGATGTGATGGCTACTGTAACACTTTTTGGGAACTAAACAAGCACTTATTTAGAGGTGTCACTTAGCTCTAACCTTTCATTATATATATTTCTTTATTTCTGGGTACCATAACTCCTACCAGGTGTCCGTAGTAGTCCAAATAGGTGCAAACCCTGGCCCGCTATCCTAGCTGGCATGCAAACAGGGATCCCCGTTGGATCCTTGGCCTTTTTAGTCCAACAGGTGTGCCTCGGCGGCAATGGCAACCTATTGCGGAAGGCGATGGAGGCGAGAGAAGGTGTGGGAGGCTGCCTCGGCGGTCAAAGCTGCCCCCAACGTTGCGGCAGAAGATCAACCCCCCCCCCACCACCACCACCACCCCACCCCGCCCCGCCTTGCCTAAGTACAGTCAGTTCACCAAACACTAGCTTTTGTACTTGAGTTCATCGGAGGAATACTTTACACTGTCAGTTTGGGGGTTAGATTGCATGAAGGTATGATTTTTATGGCCTAGGGTTAGTGTATTGGGGCGGAATCGGCGGGATTTAGGGTATTTGATTCGGTGGTTGGGGTTTTATAGTAGTGGCATTGTTAGGGTTTAAGGATTTTGCTATGCGCTAATGTTGTGTTATCGGTGATAGTGGGGATGAGTTTTTGATAGAGATACTCCGTGGTGGTTTTTTGTGGGATTTGGGCACCTAAAGAGTTGCATTGATGGGAAGATTACTGGGTTTCATCATTGTAATGTGGACACATGGTCACCATTGTGGTTTGATGACTTCATTGAGCAATTTGCATACCTGAAGACATGCCTAGTCAAGGTGTATTGTCTACTACTAGGGAAGGACATAGTTGATGGATTGAGAATAATTGCTAGTGATGCAGACACTAATGTTATGCACTCAGTTGCAGATAGGGTGAAGAATATGGTCGTTTTTACATTGACCATGAGGACATTGTTGCTTGTGGAATCTCAGATCATGTTGTTGCCAACCCTCAAGCAGAGACGCATAAGGTGATTGACCCTGTGAAGGTCCAGCATGTAGAGAGGAAAGAAGGTGACGAAAACAAATTACTCAGTGTCTCAATTCCTCCATGATATCACAATTTGTTTTTGCATTGCCCTCCTTTTTATATTGGCATGTCGCTCTAAGCTACTCGTAAGTCGTTCTAGTCTTTTTTATACATAAAAAACTAGAATAACTTGTAATTTCAAATTGAGAAAGTATTAATCATTTAGTCTAGCAATTTTACACTAATCTAGTTATGCTTGCATGCATACATAAAACTCGGCGACCTCCTTTGATTTACTATTGATTTTCATAGTACTCACGTGCTGTTGCCCAACAATGTAAAGACGATCATTTTAATAGAGCATCTTCTCTAAATATGCAACGCAGCACATATTCCTACTAAGTGGATTGTCAGTTATCCTAATCAAACCAAGTCTCCTAAAATAGTAATTTCAATAAGCTTGACCTAATTAAATTTTAATATAGTTTAATTTAGAACAACGGAAAATCCACTATGTTTCAAGTCAGCCACAATGTGAATAAGGTAAAAGAATCAAAACAATTCTGATAGGTGGCATTTTCGTAGACAAGGTCGTGGTAAGCTTTATTTGTGAGAAAATGGAATAGTTGGCAAAAAATTGCTGGGCCTATTCGGTTGAACTAGTTGCAGCAGCCACCTCACTAACACTGTAGTATGTAGCAGTTGTAGCAAATCAACGACAAGACAGGCTACAGGAATACCGACGGACCTTTGGCATACCCTGAACTCGAAGGAGGGTCATGAGCGAAATATCGATGTATGGTTTAAATGCAATACGAATGCAGCTTTTCACAGTGAGACGAAGAAGGGAGCTACAGGAGTAGTGCTTCGCGATGAGTCCGGTCCATTTACGGACGACAATAGGTAAATCCACGTTGGGTATTGACACCTCGTACCCAGTTGCGGGTGGTGAATTTTTCCTACGCCCATACCCGGCTGGGTAAACTAGACCCAGCGGGTCACCCATATATGGGCGAACCATCCGAAATAACACATCTTTAAAGGCGTTCGTCTTCCACTAGATATTAAGAACCCCAAAGCAAGCTATATCGGACGGTTTCGTCGAGCACATCCCAAGGAGAACTCGAATAATCCACGTTTTTCTCAAAAATCTAATAATGAGAACGAGTTTACAATACTTAGTCCATTTTATACAACAATAGTTTCATAAATACATTATTACAATACCAAGTTCAGAGTGCGGAATTTAAACAGCGGAATTAAAATAAACATCTAACAATAAGGTATAAGAATCCGTCTTAGCCCACCAGAAGAATCCTCCACATAACAGCTACTCCTCAAGCTGGACCTGCAATAGGGGTAAATAAACCCTGAGTACACAATATACTCGCAAGACTTACCCGACTAGTAGAAATAATTTCTTGACTCCAAAGGATATGATAAGCTTTATGGTTTGCTGGGTTTCTTTTTTGCGAAAAACAACACTAGTAGTGAATTCTTATGTAGATGTTTTATTAAGAGTCATAATTAGTTCATTAGCTAGCCATTCTATGTAAGCAATTGTTCTACTTTCAAGCAAGAGTTGAACAATCAGATCTATTTCATCATCTTTCATATTCTAGTTATTACTACGATGCTAGATCATAGACAAGTCGTACCGTATCATACGGCGATTCGCGAATCAATGTAGCCCAACTAGTTATCCTAAAACACATGTCCCGCTTATACCATAGGCATAAGCAGAACCAACCCACCACTCTCCTGTCAAAGGGTCCAGGTCCCCGTCCAAACTTAGACTCCAAGCTCCCACACCTAAGTACCGGACTCAGTGTGGTGCTTAGACCTCCACCATCCCCGTCTCCAATCAGTCGGTCCGAAAAGAGCCGGAATCCACGACAAGAGAGCAACGAGCTTTCCCGCTCCCATAAGAAAGTCTATGCTTAGGATAATAAGTCTATGACCTGACTAGAATCCAATGCAACGGCCGGTCCTTAGGCCCCGTTTAGTTTCCCCAAAAGCCAAAAATTTTTGCGCAGTATCCGTCACATCGAATCTCGCGGCACATGCATGGAGTATTAAATGTAGACGAAAAAAACTAATTGCACAGTTGGGTGAGAAATCGCGAGACGAAACTTTCGAACATAATTAGACACTAATTACCAAATATAAACGAAAGTGCTACAGTACCCAAAACCTAAAAAATTTTGGATCTAAACGCGCCCTTAATCGATACGGACAGAAAAAACAGTGTAACCAAGCTATGCCTCGTTGGTTATGGGACACAACCTCTTACACCCACCAATAAATGTACCATATCTCTGTCCGGTCTCCATTTTCTTTCACCATTTTCTCATGAGAGTAATATTAATAATTACCTATTGTGAGTAACGGTAGGTTACTCACGCTACCGAAAAACCTAAGCATAGCAGCTACGCGGCCTAAGCTAATATGACTCATAGGTAGGTATATCTATGCATGTAGTTTCAACAATAAGCCTATAACGTTAATGCACATCACATATATAAATCCAGTGATTATTCAAAATAAGGGTTATACATCGGGGCTTGTCTTGGATAGGCGGGGTGTCAGCTCAGTCACTCAGTGGCGGCTCCAGGACCTCCTCCTACACGAGAACCTCCTCCTCGATGATTTCCTCGAACTCGTGATCTCCGATGGTCACGATCTCCGCCAACTCATTCTCTACATGCATGCGATAATGATGCAACACTTAGCATTTCGACAGTAACAACTCTTAAAAAAATAATACACATGGTAAGCTACTAAGTTAGCTCTAATAACTAAGATACTAAACTAACTATCATCTTCATCAAGTAAAGTGTTGGGTTCAACTAACAAACACCTAGCTTTACAAATGAAGGATATATTCTTATTTCTACTAATGATTTAATGTATATTTGAAACAAAGAGCATTTAATTACCCTTATGATAAGTCTATTCTAAAGGTACAAAAATTACAGTGAGCACATAATAATACCACGAAGCTACTGTAAAATTTTCAAAGATAAAACTATCACCAATTTACCACAAAAATTTCTAGAATATTTAACCTAATACTATTAAGCACTCTCAAATGATTTAATAGCTCCTGATATCAACAAGCACATATATGAACTAAATACACTAACAGATAGAGCACAATTTTAGGAACTTAACAAAATTTGTTTCATAATTTTTAGATACCTATATGATTTTATATTAATTACCAAAGTTCAGCTTAGAATTAAAATGAAAAGCTATTTCTATTATCCATGAAAAAACTAAACGGATTTTGGCCCAACACGGGGTGCGGCCCACGCGACGCAGCGCGTGCGCGAGCGCATGGCGGCCCGCGAGCGCGTACTATTTCTACAGACAACGACTATGCAACGGAACACTCGGATCTTTCTTCTATTTATAATGGCAAGGTCCCTGGCCTCCCCTACGCGGTGGCGGTGGCACTAGCGCTTGCGCCGGTCCACACGACCCACGTTGACCAATCTACGAGGCCGATGCTCACATAGGGTTTAACGCGAAGCGATGGGCGGTGGTGGCACGAACGGCAGTGAAGCAGAGTGGGCTCTCCCGGCGGCGGGCGACCTACAACAGCGACAACCACGCGTTTGGTGAGCCACAACGCTAACAGGACGATAGAGATAGGGGATAAGCACTAGGGGCACACCGCAAACTAGGCCGAAGTGGTGGTTTGGTCGGCGACTACCTGAGCAGTGTTGGCCACGTGCGCGTGATGAGCACGACGATGAGCCACCGCGGACACGACCGCGGCAGCGGCGAGGTGGTAGTGCTCCCACTGGCGTGTGCACAGTGGAGAGGGAGCCAAGGCGAGCTAGTGGTGCAGAGGATTTTGCACGGGTGAAGTAGTGGAGGTTGGCCACGACGCGGGCGGTGACGGTACATAACGACACGATGGCGGGCAAAGCTTAAAAAATTGGAGCTCGGCCTGGCCGTAATTAAGGTCGGGATGGAGTTAGTTGGAGAGGGGGCATGAAGGAGGAGATGCGAGCACGAGGAATTGATGAGAGTTGCCCACTCTCTGGCTCACCGTTATGCGACACGACGGCGCGAGAAACAGAGAGAAGAGAGAACGGGCGCGACAGGTGGGCTCGGCTCGTCCACGCCTTGGCGGGACACGAGCGGCGAGATCGGGAGACCCATGCGCTGACGCTAGCCGACAGGCGCACGTGCTCCCGACTAGCGTGGCCCGCGCGGCTGCAACGCCTTAAATGACAAGGCGACGGTGGCCCGCCCACGTGCACGCGGCAGAGGCGACACGCACAGGACCGGTAACAGCGACAGAGGTGCAGCAGACCGACGCGGACACACATGATGCGACGATAATGGCAGCGTCGTGACGCGAGGAGCATCGGCGGTCAGGCGCGCGACGCAGCAGCCAGAGCGCCGCCGCAGCAAGGCACCAAGACGGCAAGCAGCGAGGCAGGCAAGCAAGCAGGGCGCGGCGATGGCTCGCGCGGCGGCCTCGGCCAAGCCCAGGTGGCTCGACCGACCAAGCGTGGTGGCATGGTTGACCGCGCAGGACACGACCATGTGCGCGGCGTGGGGAGGCCGCGCGGTGACCGCGCATCCGGCACCAACCAACCTGAGACAGTGACGCCCACGAATTTTAAAGCTTTCAACACGACCAAACGATTGCTTTAGGACCTAAACCATCTTCACCATGCTCAAGATGTCATATGAGACTACCAAATCGAGCTATAACACTACACCACCCTTTAACCCAATCTCTCACAATAAATTGCTGAATATAGCAATGTCTAGCTGTTGACAGACTTGAAAATTTCTAAGTTTTTGAGCTGGATTTGTTTTCAAGTTCTGTTTCTAGACTATTAAAAATACCAGCTAGTAACATTATTTTTCTAAAGCAAGTATTTCATTGTTATCTATAAAGTTTGTACTTCCAACTTTATTAAGGTGACACATATATGTTCTATAGCATTTTTGCTTAATAAAAATTGGTTTTCAACCTTAAGTGATATAACATGACTATTAAACCAACTTCTGTTTCGCATTTTTGTTGATCGTTACAAGTTACGAAAATTGATCTACACACTTTATTACATACATTAACACATAAACATGATGCTCATGACATGTTTTAGTAAATGATTTACGGTGTAAATACCCACCAACAGTGGAAGGGTGTGGAAGGTTCTCCGGTGACGGTGGGTATAGCGTGTGGTTGGACGGCTAGAAGGAAAGCATGAGCTATGGATGGTGGGTCAATGTCCTGGATGGAGGGGGTGAGGGATTGGCCGATTGGGAAGGGAGGGGTTAAATACTTAGGGTTTCTAATTATTTGGGCTAGGATACTTTGATTTGGGGCCAAGAGAGGTGGAATGTCTATGTGGGTTTTCGGGTATTTTTCACCTATGGGTTAACACGTACGGGGACTGCTACAACGTTCCAATACCCATGTACCTAATGGGTGAAGGATTTTGCCTATTTGTGTACCCATGGATAGCGTGTTTCGTCCATATTCGTACCCTAATAGAGTAAATACCCATCGAGCATCGGGTCACGGTCCTTGTTGCCATCTTTAGGTGCATTCATGGGAGTGAAGGGCGAGTGGTACCCCAATGCGATGGATGCTATCTCTATAGGGGTCGAGGCTTGCCGAACAGGGTATGCCGTTCGCTGCTCAACAAGGGGTGTAAAGATCTTAGTCGAGCTATGGCTTCAGGAAGACTGTCAACGTTCAATGGTGGCCGGAATGCTGAAGCAAATGAAGGACTTGAGTTCTTGTTCTTGTTTTGAAAGCTTCAGTTTTTGTTTGCAAAACAGTCTTGTAAGTTGTAACAGAGCAGCACATGAGTGTGCCAAAGTTAGTCTCCAGCTCTCGACTCTCGAGTGTGTGGCAGCAGCCTCCTAAGTCAGTTCTAAGAGCTATTGAGCTTGATTATAATTCGTTGTTTTCGGAGTAATAAAAGCTCTATTCCCTCGAGTAAAAAAGGGCAGGCTGCAGGAATGGCTGGGCTGTTCAGCAGCAGCCCAACCGCCAGGCCCGCTGAAGCGTGTAGCAGCCACTTCCCATTTTTTCTTCTATTTCTTCTAAAAAATTATTTTCTACTTTTTCGCTAATGCTAGGAAGTGGGTGGCCGGATGACCCGAGGCTCCATTGGTGGGCCGCGAGACGCCAGCCCAAGACCCCCGCTCCTCTGTTTCTAAATAAAAAAAAATAAGCTCGTCCACGTACTTGTTCATATCCGCTCACTTGCTCCTATCTACTCATCTGCTGCTTCCAGCGCTCGGTCGCTGGCCTAGCCAGGCACGGCGCGCGATCGACTCCGAGGCGCAGTGCTCGGCGTTGACCCTACCAGGCCACTCCGACGCACCACCGCCGCCCATCCCCATGGCGCCTCTGTCCCCCGCCGCGCCAAGCCCGTCCTCCGCCGCGCCCAGGGTGTGCTGGCCTAGGCCGCGGAACAGGTGCTCGCGACCCTCGCGCAGGTGCTCACCCAGGCTGCCGAGCAGGTCCTCGCCCAAAGACGCACCGGCGATCTCCATGCGTCGCGGCGGCGGCGAGCTCCGTGATTCGTCCAAGCGGCAAGGTGACATTGCGCGCTGGATACGCATGTTGGAAGAGTATGTTTCAAGTGTTTCACATGTTTAATCTGGATGATGCAATTGTTTTATGTGGATGTTGTAAAAGTCGATCGGGATGTTGCATATCTTGCAATGGTTGTACACGTATGTTGTAAACTTTTGTTTCCCAATGTTTCAGTTGTTTTTCAGACGTATGTTGCAAGTGTGTTTATCTAAATGTTGCACGTGTTTCACATATATGTTGCATGTTTTTATCTAGATGTTGCATATAGTTCGCAATGGCTTTTTCAAACGTTTTCAGGTTTCTTTACAAGTGTTTCAGACGTATGTTACAAGTGTTTCAACTGTTTTTGAACGTATGTTGTAAATGTTTCATATCGGGTATTGTATCTCCCTCCTCGCCTTCTGCTGCCTTGCCTCGGTGTCTTCTCTTCTCGATGTTGGTGATGTTCGGGCTACGTGGGGATGGGCGGCGTGGGCGGGATGAGTCGTTCGAACGGCGCAGGGCACATGGCGTGGGGAGCGGCATGGGCCTTCGTTCCACTATTTTTGTTTAAAAAAAATCAAAACAGTTTCCATTGGGCTCCAAAATCCAAATAGCTAGTTGCATTGCCCTTCTTGCCCTACCGCAAGCAGCTCAATCGTTTTTTTATTTTTAACACTATTTTCAAATCTAACACATCTTAACTTCTTTTTTTTTAAACTAACCTTTTGGTCGCGCCATGCATGGCGGCACGACAAGCCTGCCATGTGGCAGTCAATCGAGCGCTGATTCGCTGACGTGACACAACTTAAAAAATGTATTTTTTTCATATGATTTGGGATGAAGATGATCTTTATATGAAAATTATAGCCCTCGACGAGATCTACAACTTTCTAGTTTTGAGTTTTTTTTTCATTTAGGGTCGTAAAGATGCTAAAAAATAATATATTGTTTCAGCATCGTATTAATCGCATACAAGTGCTTGTCACCTTGGAAAAATCGTATCTTTCTTATATCTTGCCAAATAGAGATACTTTCTACGAGATCTATAACTTTCTAATTTTATGTTTTTGCATTTGAGGTCGTTAAAATACTAAAAAATATAAGAGCTTGTACGCGATTAATATAATGCTGAAACTTTATATTTTTTTAGCGTCTTAACGACCTAAAATGCAAAAAATCAAAACTATAAAATTTTAGAATAAAATGCACCGGAGGTCCATTAACTTTCGTTGGGGTGTTATCTAGGTCCATTAACTTTGAAACTGCATTTTTGGACCCATTAACTTTCGTTGGGTGTCATCTAGGTCCATCAACTTTGAAACTGTATTTTTGTCCATGAACTTTTAAAATGGTTCACTGCAGGTCCACGCATGCATGCATGCACGTCGGCTTCGGCCTCCGGTCTTTGCATCGGTGGAGCTGCAAACTGCAAAGCAGCGATCCAGCCACTCATCGTCTTGCGTGTGTGTGTGCGCTGCGTGGTTGGCGCCCGTGTTCCTCAAAGGCGTCGACTTTGGGGTGGAACGGCGTGTTTCGTCGGGGCGCGACGCGTGGGTCTTTGGCGCGCGTGCCTAACGGTGCTCGGCCCTAGGCTCTCGAGAGCTGGGCGTGGCGTGTCTACATGGTGTGTGGCCGCAGTCGCGGGTGACCGGTGGCGATGGTGATGCCGCGATGTGTCGGCGAGGCGTTTACGTGCTGGTCCGTGCCCCTGGGTGGCCGTCGGTGAAGACCCAGTGCTTGTGCATCGGTGTGCTGAGGCACCACAGCCTGTGTGTGTGTGCGTGTGATGGCGAGGAGGCAGCGACAAGCGTAGCTGTTGGCCATGGCTTCGTGGGCGCGGTCCAAAGGACGGATAGGCCAAAACGGTGACCAAGGGTCGAAGGACGGGAGTTCGGGTTTGTGCAAGTGCGTGACCACGATCCGGGCGGCGGCAAGGCAAAGGCCTGTTCACCGCCGTGCTGTGCGTGTGCGCCGCAAGCGCGGCTTGGCATGCCGGGCAACGACATGATGAGGCCACGGGGGTGGGGGAAAGCTACGGCGTCGTGGATATGCGGTGCACGTGTACAAGGCTGCGGTCACCGCGTCAGTGTGCTAGAACGGTGGGCGTCCAGGAAAGGCTACGCCTTGGCCTCCATGCAGCCAGGTGAGGGCCAAGCCAAGGTGTGCAGGTGGTTCAGTGGCACGAGCGTGGCCGCGGTGCGCCGTGGTCAAGGTGGCCAAGCCGTGCACGATAGGTAAACAGAGCCGCCGTCAAAGGCCGGGACAGGCAGGCTTTCGAGGAACGAATAAGGGCTGGGGCTTTGGAGGTCCAGTGCAGAGGCGGTGATGTCCCCGTGCAGGACGGGCTCGGTGCAGGCAGGGCCGGTGCATAGGCGGTGATGTCCCCGTGCGTGGCCGCGACGTCATTGGCGCACGGTCGTCGCTTGGTCGCAGCACTGCGAGGGCTGAACGGAGTGGAGTCGCGACCTCGTGGTTCGGTCCCAAACGCAAATCGCCGCGGCGGTGTGGTCATGGACCGGCTCGGCGGTGCAGCTGGCCCCGAGACGGCTTCGTGTCGTGGCCGCGGCGACTCCCGTGGTGCGGCTCAAGGTGAAGTCACGGAGGTGGGTTGGCTACGCCAAGGAGGAAAGGTGCTGCTTCCCAGCGAGAATGGCGGGATCGGCACGGTGACGACGCGAGGTGGTGACGCGGCTTGGCGATGAGGACGCCATGGCAGACACGCCGTGACGAAGCAGAGGTGGTTGGCGTGCTCTCGTGCGGTGGGATTGGCGAGGACGGGGACGCCGGTGAACGCGCTGTCGTGCCCTGCACAGCTTGTCGTGGCAGCGTGATGTGGTCAGAGCGGCGAGGCTAGGTGCAGGCGAAGCTCCGTGGCGGCGTCATGGTGCTGCTGCTTTGTCTCGGTGATGTCGTTGTTGGTGCCGTCGCAACCTCAGGGGGCAAGGCCATGGCGTTCTGGGACTAGAAACGGAGGCAGAGAGGAGACGGGAAGAAGTGACGGCTGCTAGAGGGAGAGGGTGAGGGCGAGAGTCGCGCTTGGCCTTTAAAGGCCGCGGCTAGGGTTTGCGAGGGGGTCTGGGAGCTCTACGAACGACGGCGATCATCGGTGGTCGCACTGCCGAACGCGTGGCCACCATCCATGGCACGGGCAGGTGAGGAGGCTGGGACGCTTCTGGAGAGGTCCAGAGGGGTTGCGGCGCTGGTCTAGGTGCGGGCGAGCGGGGTCCGCGTCGCGAGAGGTATGCGAGGGAAAGCGATTTGGTCTCTTGCGGGCGCCGGCGGCCGCTGTAACAGAACCGACCAATTATACGAAATTAAGTAAGAAAATCATCCACCAGAGCAGACGATTGAACAAACTTAAGCCCGTATAACCCGGTAGTCCGTGAAATCATAAAGGATTTCAAACCAACTCGTGTCCCAAATGCATGATCGTAACAAGTTTAGCGGTCACCATCACATATTACATAAAAGTTCGCAATCTCGGATACATCGAGTTTAAACATAGTTATTACAAACCAGTTCGAATAAAAGTAGCGAAGTCATTTGTTCAAACCACACACACACTCACGCCGGAGTTTAAATATAGTGCCGGTGAATGATCATCTCCAACAAAAGCATTAGATGAGACGTAAGGAATGACCATGCCCATGGTCCTAAGCATCACCCATCGCAGGATAGAGGCGCTTGATACAATAGCCGTAATACATCCGCCCATCTGCAACAAGTGGGAATAAAACCACGAGTACGAGAAGGTACTCAACTAGACTTACCCGATATAACCGAAAATAAATGACACCAAGGATTATGCGAGGCTTTATAGTAGGGTAGGTGACTCATTTGCAAAAGAAGCATTTTTAGCATTTCAAGAATCTTTCTAAAAGCATTATTGTCAAGTTAATTATTATTAACTTTATCGACTAGATTTGCACCTATACTAGAGTAAACATGTGATTAAGCAATTAATGATAACCACCGATCATTAAACAACTTCCATCTTGTCATATTCACTATAAGCTGTCCAAGTGTTCCATAAACATTTACTACGATGAAGTAACTCAAGTCAAGTGCTCACTATCCGGGAGCGATGGCGATTTGAATCGATTCCTAACCACCGGTGATTTATTCCTTACACAAATCTCACTCACCCGCTAAAGTGAGATATTGATCACCGAGTCAACTTTCCGGTATCTCGAGTTTGCCAGAACCACATGTACCGGGGCCGACCGACCAGCACTTTTGGTCTTATCATCCCCCCGTGTCCTACCACACCTGCCCGCACACGGTCTTGTCATGGGCAATCTACTCGGCCCGAAAAATCTCCTAACCATGCGGTCGGAAGGTACTTTATCCGCCCGACTAAATGTAAGGCATCGTTCAACATGACTCGAGGCCCAACAATGGTCGGTCCTTAATCGACCTGCGACGGAAACACTACAGTCCAAAACCCCGCAAGTCTCCGCCTGGTCTCAACTTCATTTAACACTTAGTTATACCATGACTTCATAGCCATCCAAATGCAGATCCGGTAACCACCTATAGCTCGTAGGTGACGAAATCACCCGACTTCTACCGGTCTAAGCCAACCTAAGCATTGACTCGATCATGGATACCGTGGTAACAAGGATATAGTATAACAAAGGTAAACAAGGTATAATGCAAAGAACGGTTGCAAACAACTCCCGAACGTAATGCATCAATTTAAAGTAAAGTATTTAATGAAATCATTGCAAACCGGGAGAAAGATGCTCCGGGGCTTGCCTCTCTCGAAGGAGCTCGGGCGGTGATCGGGGCACTCCGGGAGTTCTTCAACGTCCTCCTCGTCGGCTTCTAGCACTTCCTGTGGCTGCACCTCGAGCTGCTCCTCGGGCTCCTCGGGAATGACGACTGGGTTCTCGGTTTGCGATCCTGTATGATGCAATGCGTGTAAGTGCCTATGCAATCGGTGCATCGAAGGAGATGAATGCAATGGATATGTTGAAAAGCAAGGTAGTCACATCATCCAAGAAAATATACTACAAGCACATGTCATCTACTGCATTCTCTTCTACTACTAATAGGTTAAGTCAACACATCTTATTAAATGCTTCAAAGATACACCAAAGCTAACATTATTAACTAACTTGCATTAAAGAGGATTATTTTATTTCATTTGAAACTAAGGCTACAACAGCAACCTATATTTCTGATGCTTATAAAAATCTAAGAAAATTACAGTAGCATAGTACTACTCTAAGCAGACTACCATAAAATTTTCATGGCATTTGGATAAGTAAACTATCCTACATAAAAATGACAAGCTATAGCACAAAAATGAGCATGAAATTACTTTGTACTATGAAAAGTGTCAAACAACAGATTGAGTATTTTTCCTATGTTCTTTATAGTATATAATCACTGTACAAAAATTGTCACATGCATGTTTTATACAAAATTTGTGCTCTAGCAAAAATAACAAAAATCAGCCATTAAAGGTACTTGAACTACACCTCAAAATTTTCCCACAGCACATGCATGAACACATATTTTTCCTAGGAAGTACATGACATAAGAAGATTAACAAACTTGGAATCATATTTTTCTGAAGCCTATATATTTTTCTACATATTTTTCAAGTTATCAGCAATATTCAAGATTAAATAAAATCCTATAGAAAAGTATCTCAAAAATGACATGCACAATTTTTCCCAAGTAGATCTGATGATAAGGAACCTAGAAAATTTGTTTCAACAAATTTGGAGCAATTTGAGTATCCAAACATTTTTCAAACCATTTCAAATTTCAAATAATAAAGAATAAATGAAAAACAATTCATCCCATCACTCTCGGACCAGCCCACTGGAGTCAGCTGGCCCACGGCCATTTTCGGCCTGCGCGGCCCGAGCGCAAGGGAGGGGAAGACGACCCATGAAGGCGCGAGCACACACCTGCATCGAAGCAGCAGTGACCCGACTCATTCCCTCTCAAGCCGCCGACCGGCAATGGGACCCAGACGCCAATGAGAGCAAACAGGGACGGAGAGGGACGATGGCGCGCGACTCTGAAACTTCGCCGACGGCGAGGGTCCCCGCAAAACGGAGGGCACCAACGTGCTCCCATATGCCAAACCGCGTCGAGATAGGCGAATAGGGAGGGCGGAGCAGGGAAAAAGCTCATGCGACGGTAATGGCGGAGCGCGCGGCGCGCCGGTAGTCGCCGGTGGAGCATCTCCGGCCACGGCGAGTGCCGAGGCGGCTCGGGAGACTCAACGTCGCCGTCGGTGCTTGTGCTTGTCTTGTAATCTGAGTAGGAAGAAGAGCCGGGGGGGAGTCCATGGGAGCGGAGCTCACCAATGAGCTTCGGCCGTGCTCGACGAGCCATTCCCAAGAACAGGATGCTTACCACGGCGAAAGTAGCGCGAGCACGGGTGCGCGGTGAAGGCGAAGCCAGGTGAGATGGAGTGGGCCGGTGAGCTGTGGTGGACCAGACGAGCTAACTCCGTGAGGGAGCTAGTGGCGGCCGGTGGCGGTGCGTTCTTTGTCTTCCGCTGGCGAGAGGCGGAAGGAGGAGCAGAAATGCGATGCCGAGCGAAGCTCATGGGAGCTTAAGCCGTGGCCAGCAAGCAGGCTGCTGCTGCGCGTGTGGACGACGGTGTCGAGTCATCGTCGACGGGTGGCGCCATCGCGGCAAGGCCCTTGGTAGCAAGCGCGCGGTGCGGTGGCAGAAGCCAGGCCATGGCTGGGCCGAGGCGAGGCGGGCGAGGCGCCATGTGGGAGGCTCATTGGGCGGCGGGGCAAGGGCCGGAAGCGAGCGGACGGCCCGCTAACACGAAAAACATTCTTTTAAATTTCCATTTTCAATAAATTTTCAAATAACAGTTTTCAAATATTATTTTGAGCAAGAAAATGACCTCTTTTGAAAATGTACCAAAAATGAAAGTTGTTTAGAATTTAATTCTCTACAACTTTGCTTTTATGACCAAAGTCCAAATCTATCTAGATTTTAAATTATACAATCAAAGTTAAATTTTAACTCAAAACCCTAATTTTTGAGAATTATTTTTAAAGAAAAATTTGGCAATAATTCAAATACAAACCTTGCTCCAAAAATTGTGCTAAACAATTCTAGATGATTTACAATCATAACCAAACAAGTTCTACTAACCTAGCAAGCAAGAATCAGAGCAAAACAACTCTAATAAGTATATGCATCATTTACGTTTCACAAACATGTTTCGTATGTTTCGAAGTAATGATTCAGTTGTTATATGCAAGATTACGCATGTATAAATAGGATGCTTGATGATGCATGATATGCGGGATTTGCAGTGCCTAAATGTAGGCATAACACCGGGGTGTTACAGCCGCCGCTGGAAGGCAGCGGTGGCCTCCTTTGATCGGACGGAAAAGCAGAGCGAGGAAACGGAAAGAGGAACGGGGCGCGGTCGAAAGATAGAAGGGGACGACGACGTGACGGAATGGAAACAGACGAAAAAGGCACCTGCGCCGTCACGTTCACCGTGTCAAGATCCTGTTTCGCCCGGCAGACGAGCAACGGCGGCGAGTGCAGGCATGGCTCCACCGACGCAAAGATCGGAGGCCGAAGCTGACGTGCATGCATGCATGCGTGGACCTGCAGTGAACCATTTTAAAAGTTCATGGACCAAAAATGCAGTTTCAAAGTTGATGGACCTAGATGACACCCAACGAAAGTTAATGGACAAAAAAATGCAGTTTCAAAGTTGATGGACCTAGATGACACCCCAACGAAAGTTAATGGACCTCCGGTGCATTTTACTCAAAATTTTATATCTGGTCGAGAACTACAGCTTTCATATAGAAAGTATCTCCATTTGGCACCATATAAGAAAGATACGATTTTTCAAAGGCGACAAAGCGTTTGTACGCGATTAATACGATGATGAAACTTTATATTATTTTTAGACATCTTAACGATTTTAAATGAAAAAACTCAATAATAAAAAGTTGTAGATGCCATCAAGAGATATAATTTTCATATAAAGATCATCTACATCCGAGATCATATAAAAAATATAATTTTTCTAAGTTGCGCCACGTCAGAGAGTCAGCGCTAGGCTGACTGCCACGTGACAGACTTGCCGTGCCGCTATGCATGGCGCGACAGCGTGGTTTTGCCGCGCAACTCATGTATGGCGCGGAATAAAGGGTTAGTTTTTAAAAAAGAAGTTAAGACGTGTTAGATTTGAAAATAGTGTTAAAAAGTATTCAAGTAAAAAAAAAATCCTCAACAGCGCCTCAGCCGAACCGCCGCGGCCGCAGCTGCCGCCGTCTCTGGCCATTGCCCCTCTACCCGAGTCCCGAGGTAGCATTTGCCAAGGGCTCGAGAGCATCTTCGCCATGGAGTTGCGGTCGGCCCGCGGCCTCGGCACGCCGCCGTCGCGCCGAACTCCCCATCTCTGGCTTCCCAGCCGAACCTCGTCACACCCGCCGGCGCTGCCGCCCCCATTTCCCAATCCCATTTGCTCCCCCTGCAACACACTGCCCGCCGGTCCAACCCAACTTCTTCCCCACCACTCGCTCCTCCCGACAGCGCAGTCTTTGCGGCATGGATTCGCGCTCGGGCCGCTCCATCTCTCCGGAGCGGCCCCACGCAGCTCGCCGCCGATGCCGTCAGTGGAGCAGCTGCCCGTGCTGCGACACCGACGGGGCGGACCGCATCAGCGGCCTCCCCGACAACGCGCTCCTCAAGATCCTTGCTGGCACCCGCTGCGCCCGCACCGCCGCCCACGCCGGCGGTCTCTCCCGCCGTCGTCGCTGCCCTCGCGCAGGTCGCACTCCCGGAGCTGTCCATCCTCGACATCAACGTCACCAAGCGCTTCAAATTCTCCGCAGCAGGCGTCGCCTCGCTGCTCCGCACCGCCGCGAGGTTGGCGCTGGTGGAGCTCACCATTATAGTCTGGGGGGACAGAAAGGACATCGACATTGCCGTCGAGCTGCCTTGCTTCGACCGCGCAACAACGATCAGGCTGGAACTAGGGGATGTCAAATTAGCACCGGCGGTGGCTGGCGGTGAGTTCCCTCTGCTCGAGAGGCTGTCCGTTGCAGGCTGCAGGTTGGCCACCGCTAGCGCTAGCCTGATCTCACAGTGCCCGCATCTGCGAGCGCTAGAACTGCGCCGATCTGAACATCCTGACGTTTTGAGGGTCCACTCGACGAAGATTGAAAAGCTAGTCATTGACTGTGATACTAGTAGCTGGTTGGGGGCTGTTGACATCGACGCCCCTGTGCTGAAGAAGTTCACCATGAACACCATCATTGACAGGGATTTCAGCATGTCATTCTCGGCGCCTATGGTGGAGATTCTCTCGTGAGTGGCTACAACCTAAACTTGGATTTATATATCCCGGTGTGTCTCTGCTAATGCTTTGTGCTTTGTTTCATTGACAATTTGACAATTCGGACAACCCTCTTATGTAGACCATTGTCATCGTTTAAAATTGTATGATACTTGACTGAGCAAAGTGGCCACTATATTGTGCAAGGTATATGGCAGTAAATTTGGTGAAATCATATCAGAAACAAATTAAAGAGGCGCGCACCGTGGGCAGCTGTGAGATCTGTCTCATGTAAGATAAAATCACAGCAGACTAGTCAAAATGGGCCATGACAACTCCAACCAATGATCCATCTGGAATCCGCTCACTTTGGTGGACAGTGAGGGGAAAATAAGGATATAGCTTAGCCTTTTCTCATGCTTGAATCTTTGGTGTTGTTTTTTTTCCTTGCTTGCATGCTTCAGTTAGGGAGCCTATTGGTGTGGTTTCGTCAAAGCTTAAGCAAAGATCGCTACTGTTTGCAATGATGCAAGCATTGCTCACTCTGAGCATCAGTATGTTGCTACTGGGATGCCCACAGAAGCTGCTCTGAAGGTACGATCTGTTCATGTGACAATTTTTTTTCCCTTTCATCTGGGATGCTGTTATAGTTGTTTCTTCTACTGCAAATTTATCTTATGTAGGAATGCCTAGATCTTGCAATTCTAGAATGGGTCAGCAAAATTGCTGGTGCTGCGATTTGTCAGTTCTATGGATCAATTTCCTTGCACAAAAAAAATGAGCTGGGAAACTCTCAAGGCCCTAGCACCGATGCAGCGCGATGAAAGGTAACCAGCCCACTGCCTGCCCTCAGATCGTTAGGCTGCGTGTTCCTGTTTTTTTTCCATCCAGTTTATCTATTGTCAATTTTTTATGCATGGTGTACTCCAGTACAACAAGGCAGCAAGCAATACAGCTACACCATAAGGATAATAATTATGCTTGTAAGCATAATGATGGATCTTATTGTATTTCAAAGAAACAGGAGAGTGCAGAAGAGACCTTATTGTATTTCAAAGAAACAGGAGACTGCAGAAGAGACCAACTGGTGGTGCACTGATAAATTTCTAGATTATGTAAGCATGCCTCAGAATTTAGGCACATCCTGGTGTGATTCCTTTTCGTATCCATTTATAGGAATTTGACTTCAGAACATATCTTTGCTATTTTGTTATTCCTTTATAAGAAACTTATATCAGACATGTGTGTATACATAATGCTTGGTCCGTAGTGTCATAGGAGCAACTTCTATGGCACGTAAAATACAAGTATGTCTTACCATAGACACGTGCACGCCAGCACGTGTATGCCCACTATGACTATAAAGAAGCGAACGATTTGAAAAATACCTCACCTAAAAACTTTCTACCCACACAAGTTCTTCACCCTCGGATGTGTTTTAATTTTACATCTAACTGTTGATATAGATCTGGCATATGGACCTCAACACGGAAAGGACGATACTTACCTGACGAAACACGCTTTCTCTATCGTTGATCTCCCATCCGCGCCGTTTTTTTTTTGTACGCCCGACGAATCTACACGCCCGCCTGTACCCGCGTGGGTCTCCCCTCCCCCTCTGCTGAGCCATGGAAATCATACCCGCCCCTGTACCCGGATCGTCGCGTCACCTCCCGACCCCCAGCCATGCGCGGCCTCCCTCCTCCCTCTGCCCGGGCCACGCCGCTCTCCCCCAACCGCCCCCGCCGCACCGCCCTCCTCCTCTCTCTGCATCGTCTCGGCGACCACTCCTCGCCTCAGCAAAAATTTGCCCAATCCCAATCCCATCGCCAGCCTCCGCACGCGCTCGGGAGTCCGCCTTGGCCTCGCGTCCCCGATGTTGAGGCGAACGGCACCGGCGAGGCGCTTGGCGTCCGCCGCTGTCGTGGTGTAGGCGCTAGGGAGGAGAAGCAGCGGCTGCTTGCGTCCGTGCGGTGATCTAGCTTGCCGAGTATGGAGTGCCGGGGCGCCGGGCCGCAGGAGCCAGGTGGCCGGTGATGGGGCAAGCCGCTGCAGCGGCGCTTGGGGAGATGGAGATCGGCTAAGCATCCTCCATGTTGCGCACGTCATCTTCGAGCGACCTTCAGGCTTCAGGTTAACAGCCTTGCGATTCTGCCTCCCCATCCAATCTTTAGCCGATGCCCTTTAGATTAGGATTCCGTGCATTCAATTTTTTAGGGTTTGATGCATCGCTGTTCTTCCTATTTTGGTCCGAAATCAGACTGAAACTTCCATCGAGGGGTTGAAAAGGCCGCTGCAGCATCTCTTGGGGAGATGGAGATCGGCTAAGCATCCTCCATGTTCGCACGTCATCTTCGAGCGACCTTCAGGTTTAACAGCCTTGCGATTCTGCCTCCCCATCCAATCTTTATATTAGCCGATGCCCTCTAGATTAGGATTCTGTGCATTCAATTTTTTAGGGTTTGATGCATCGCTGTTCTTCCTGTTTTTATCCAAAATCAGACTGAAACTTCCATCGAGTGGTTGAAAAATCATTAATAGTGGCATGCTTAGGGCGGGGCTGTGCGAGAGGATGGAGAAGAAATTATGTATGTCTATCTATTTTTCTGACTGATCTTGAGTCTGTCTATTTCCATGATTGCTTTGAACTATTGATCTATACTGCTAATTCATGGATTCCAAATAATACCAGCTTGCCAATCAAACTGGATTGCTTTCACTTCTACTTTCACCTATTTATCTATACTGCTATTATTTAGCCTGCTACTGTCATGAGTTCCAAATAATACCAGCTTGCAAATCAAACAGGATTGCCTTTGTTTGCATGTGGATCGCCTCGCACACGATGTGCAGATTAGGGTCCAGCAATTAGTACTTTATGTCGAAAGTTTTTTATATTATGTTTCTGCTTTTTGATCCTCAGTGTCAGTTTACTTACATACAGCTATTCTAGGGCAGTATTTGTGTTAAAAAAATAATGTGACAAATTTTTACTTTGCATAATGCATGGTCTAGAGTTAATTTACTTCCATGTTCGCAAATGTATCATCACTGATTCAACCAAATTGCCTATTGTTCAATTGATTACTTTTAAATTTTTTTGTATGCTTGTCAATAAAATTTGATACAGATAACTTGTGACATTTGTCATTTGTCTATATACGAAATAACTAAATTGTAATTCTGAAGTGCATTTCTGAATTGGAGTAGTATCTGTCTTCTTTCTATACATGCAAACTTTGATGTAGTGATGGTGCATTGTTTCCTCATATGAATTTCAGATGACGATTTGAAGTCGAGTGGACTCTCAGGACAGAACCCTGATGAGATTGGTGATTGTTTGTTGCTTGAAACTATGTAAGTAGGTTTCAGTTTTGCTTATGTTATTTTCTTTTTTTCAAAAATGGTCTTTTTAGCCTCAAGGCTCCCCCATTTTTTTTCTTTTGCAGGGTTTTTCCTTGTGAGTCCTGATAAAGTATTATGTGGTATTAATTGGGTTTAATCTAATGTGATATGCACCATAGGGACTTGACTCAAAAAAGGCTATGTGGTGAAATTTTGAATCTAATAAATACAATACTTGTAAGTATTACTTGTGGAGAATGGGATTTTGTTATTGTTAAGTCATTGGTTAGTTGTATTCGGTTCAATCTGGTACTGGTAATTTAGATGACATTATGCCAGGATGGCCACATTGCATTAGCTAGAATTTACACTAAAAGAATGAAGATCTCTTGAACTGATTGAGGGAGTACTTGTGGTCCGCTTTATTGAACTGCTTTTGCTCTGCTCATCTACCAGGATTCTCGTGACGATGTTCGTCGGAACCGCAATTGCTTTTAATTTGGATGCTTCTCTGGCGCTGCCATCATCGCCAAACGCAGGGCTGTACCTCGGCAGTCTGCTTTCATCTAGCCTCTCCATTCTTCTCTGGCTGCAGTTTGCTACTTATACGAAGGTGGTGAATAAACTTGCTTATTATACCCTACAAACTTAAAGTCTTCGTCGCCTTGTAATAAGAAAGCATGGAACCAAGCTGACTGACTGCAGCATGGTCATGGATGGCCACCTACACTGCTGCAGCTCTACTTGGGCCTCCTGGTTTTCCTGGGATATATATGGTGTTTGACACCCAGGAGATCGTCGAGAGGGCGCACGGTGGGGACATGGACACATCAAGCACGTGCTAACTCTCTTTACCGACTTTGTTGCTGTTCTTGTTTGAAACTTTGAATCCTTGTTATCATGGTGAGTTGGCAGCAGCTGCTGTTGTTGTACGCGTTTTTCTTTGAAAAAAAATAAAAAAATTTCTACTCCTCCCTCAGGAAATGATTGCTATGCTATTGGATGCAGTAACCATACGTTAGTTGATGGCTGCTGCCTCACACTAAGAAGTTGCTTTGGTTGCTTCCACAGATGAAGAATGCGCAGGAGAAATCCAAAGACGAGAAGAAGAGGAAGAAGCGCAGCTGCTGAATGAATTGGAACACACCAGAACTCCAACAATCTTTTTCCTATGAGAGAACTCTTGAAACTATTGTTGGGGTCTCTTGTGCTAATAAACAATTAAATAACTATATCTACTCATTCCGCATAGAGCGGGAGCTCTCTGCACTGGGTACGCCCTTTTTTTGTTTGTTTAGTTCCTGTAAAAAAAAATCAGAGCTGATTGCATATGCAAGGAGGATATGATGAGGGAATGAGAGCATGAAGGGACAAAATTAATTAATTTAATTTACCTTTTCTAAGTATATTCAAACCCTCTTAAATAATTTATAAAATTTACCACGTGCGGCAGGCCTTACCACTATTGTTTAAATTGATGTGTTGGAATATCAGTAATATTTCACCTCCTTTTCAAATGGGATACGAAGCTGTCGAAGCATGCGGACCAAACTGTCATTATTGATCATCCAAGGAACTGTCGAAATCAGAATATCACCTTGACAGATCTTAAAGAAGTGGAAATAAAAAATTTCGAGGCAAGTGAAGATGAAGTCAATCTCCTGAAACTTGTGTTCGGATGCGCACCCCTGCTTAAGAGAGTGACTCTGAGAGTCACCCCTGGTATCTCACCACGTGAACTAAAATGGGAGAAAACCTGCAATCTTTTCAAGGCGAGCCCTTCTGTGAGGCCCTATGTTTATGACGCCTGCAGGGAGAAGATGGAGTATAATTCTACATATAATACAATGCGCTTCTATGATGATGACGATGATTGGTAGTTAATGGACTGATGTTGGTTTAGTCTAAATGTCTAGTGAATCCAGTTTCATGCATGTAATAGTGCTTTGAATTCAGCTGAATATGCAGGATTCTTCCATCTGTACCTGTATGTTTATTTGTCTGAATATATATAAACTTGATGCTACTGGTTTAAATGAAATGGGGAAATGTAAAAGCTACGACATATGCCCCTTGTATGAGATTCCCAGATAAGACTCGAAGGGTAGGGATAAAATGACCAGAGGGCAGGTTTAAATGCAATACGGATGCAGCTTTTCACAGTGAGATGAGGAATGGAGCTACAGGAGTAGTGCTTTGCGATGAGTCTAGTGCATTCATGGGAGCAAAGGGCGAGTGGTACCCTAATGCGATGGATGCTATCTCTATGGAGGTCGAGGCATGCCGAGGAGGTATGTTGTTCGCTGCTCTGCTCAACAAGGGGTGTCTATTGCTGGAGACGGACTGCAAAGATCTAGTCGAGCTGTGGCTTCGGGAAGACAATCAACGTTCAATGGTGGCCGGAATCCTGAAGCAAATGAAGGACTTGAGTTCTTGTTTTGAAAGCTTTAGTTTTTTGTTTGCAAAACAGTTTGTAATAGAGCAGCACAGTAGTGTGCCAAGTTAGGCCATGTTTGGCCGGGCTCCGCCCGCGGTGCTCCGTCGCGGGAGCCGGAGCGGCGAAGCCACAAATCCGGACTCCACCTCCGTACGTGCAAAAGGGCTTCGGCTCCTCTGGGGACGGGCAGAAGCAACTCCTCCGACCAACGCGTTTGGTGCGGCTCCTCCGCCGGAGCTGCCGCGGAGCCGGAGCCAGACCCTGGCCATTGTCTGCACGGCCTTTTGGGACAGGCCCACGAGCTACAACAGGATACGAGATCTCATTTCAAACTCTATCACTTATCTTAAGTGACATGGTGTAGGTTGCAAATGATTGTTTATGCTATTGTATTATTTAAGAGTGTACTCTATGACCTAAAATCCTTATTTTTAAAAAGTGCAAAAAGTAGAGTTAATAAAAGATACAATAAGCTCAAGAGTTTCAACTTGAGGACAAAAAATCTATAGCGGTCAATAAGAATACAATTTAAAAAATCTAAAATTAGATTCATGACTTTATAAGATATGCGATGCACCAAGGCCACCAAAGTTAATGGCAAGATTCCAAACTAATTCATATTTAAAATGTATAAAAGATGCCATGCAATATGAATATGGATGAAAAAAACATAAATTAGTCCCTTGCACAAAAGTAATTAATAAGTTTATGATAATTTGGATATAGACTATGATGTATCTATTATGTCTATCTGTAGAAAATAAATAAAGAGAAAATATACAATTTAATATAAATAATTCTTCATTAGTCAAATGTGTTAAACAATGTATCTCTTAAAATTCTAGCACGTGCGAAAGCACGGGTTGATGGACTAGTTGTATGAATCAGTAGTGAATTTGGAGTGAAATTAATGTGTGCCATGTATCTGCATTATTATGATTATGATTCTTTAGACACTTTATCGAGTCACAATCGGATGTTTTCCACTGTGTTTAATTTCCCCTTTGTTTGCTACTTGGGAGCTATTATGCTCGTAATTAATAATGTAAACGATGATTACTGCATTTGCAGAAACAGAATGCTTTTGCATGTCCCGATGATATTCGTGGAAAATCTGAATGAGGCAGAAACGATCATTACTGAATTTGTAATTCAGATAGCCACAACGAGCCAATTGTGCTAATGCGCCGCCATGGCTGGCTGACCTCTTGCTGCCTGCTGGGTGGTATAAAAAAATCCCAATAATTGGCCGATCCCAAGCTTTGAGGCTTTCTTTCTACTGTACTATACATACTCTTCTCAAACAGGACGGCAATGCTGATTGCTGACTCTTCTCAAACACGGGTCGGGTCTGCAGCAGTACATACCTAGAAACAGAGTA